ACATAATTCACAATAAATCATTTAAAAAAAAAAAAAAGACCAGACAGCTGAGGAAATGGCACTGATCCCTGCCCACCACCAAACCCAAATCAAATCCATTGCCATTGAGTAGTTTCCAACCCATAGTAACCCTGCACGATAGAATGGATCGCCCCCTACTGGTTTCCAAGACTGTGATCTAAATGGAAGAAGACTGCTACATCTTTGGTCCTGTAGAGTGGCTGGTGGGTTCAGACCACCAATCTTTTGTTTAGCAACCTAGAGCTTTACCCACTGCACTACCAGGGTTCCTTTCCCCAACACAAACCGCCTATAAATAATTGGTTCAGGGGAAGACTCAATTCCTTCAAAGACACCTAATGTAAAGGAATATGTGCATAATCTGTACAAACATACTATAAAATCAAAGCAGGAAAGTCTCATAAAAAATCATTGGAAGGCAGTGAGAACATTCACCAGAAAAATGCTGCTACAGAACAAAGGGAAAATTGTCACCAGACATTACATCAGGAGTTAGCATAAAATAAATAATGAAACAATGGTTTCTATGAAGCAAGAGCATAAAGCTGAGTTAGAAAAGTTCAGGGGGAAAATGGTGAACAACAGACAAGAGGTAAATGTGGCCTGCAGGGTTCAGGAAAGATGTGGGAGAGAAAGCAAAGAAATTCAGGCACAAATGGAGAGAGCATGAAAGTGAAGAGACACTCGTGAAAACAAGGAAGGGGCAGGACAGATGGAAATGAGAAAGACAAAATAAGAAATGAAGCATATAAATTTTTATTTATCAAAGACAGAATTATATGAGGGTAAGACAAAAAGTACTGCTACAGAATCATAGAGGCCTTTATTAATCAAAAGTATCAAAATGTGAAGCTATTGTTTTTCAAACATATCTTTCACTAAGGTCTCTATACTTTGGAAGGCGGTGTTTCCGTCTCTCTAACTCCCAAGCTCTTTGATGTGCACCATGTCAAAACGGCAATTTTGGCATCCTCGGGGGACTCAAATTGTGCTCATATTCAATGGTTTTGAAGGACTATAGGGTGGATGTGGTAAGGGTTCCCAATAAAATTCTCATGGAACCATCCTTGCTACCTTCAAAGAACACACAGGTGTGTTGCCATGGTAGAAAAAAAAAATCCTTGGCTCAACTTTGCTGGCCTTTTTACACTGATACAGTACTCATGTGTCCTTCAAGACATATCTATCAAAAGAAAGGGCTGCAGCAAGCACTGGACACTGGATAGGGCTGCACGCGAGAGGAAGCACAGAGAACTCCAGAGAGTTGGAATCCCAAAAAAGGTCACCATAACCTTCTAACCCAACAGATCCCTTCAGAAGTCACTGTTTCGATTAAACTTGTTTTTTAAGGCACTCCAGGAGTCCTGGTGCGCGGTGCTGTGCCACTGCACTAGACTGCAAGATTGGTTTGAACCATAAGGTCGGCAGTTCAAACTCCCCAGCCACTCCTCAGAAATCCTAGACAGGGTCGCAATAAGTTGGAACTAACTCAACAGCACATAACAACAACAAGGAGACGAGCCAGCCACTGCTTGGAAACACTGTACAGGATCACTGTGAGTAAGAACAGATTTGATAGCACTTACCAACAAGGAGACTAGTGTTTTACTAAGAGGACTTGTCTGCAGATATCCACGGATGTGGATGTGACATGTTTCAACACATTTTTTGAGGAATAAACCTGTGAATGTGTGAACTGGAACCCAAGTAGCAATGTATTTGCATATCTGTAATTCATTAGCATATACATATGTGTGTGTTTGTGTGTCTATGAATATACATATACACATATTTCTCATATACATATATATGAAATACATATATAGAGAATTCCTAAAAAGAAAACCAAAATAATGGGAGAAACCAAATATTTAAGGTATACAAGAGGGTTTCTAAAAGTTCTTAGGGGGAAAAAAAAACCAAACAACATTATCTTTTCATTCCATTTTCCACAAACTTTGGAAAGTCCCCTTGCCATTTAAGAAAAAAATTTCTGAATGATAAGTTATAAATGTTCATATTAAACCAGTGTGCCCTGTTTCAAGTAACAACTGATCTAGACCATCAACAACGATTGGACTTCAAAGATATAGAAGTAATGTTCAGCAATAAAACCAAGACTTTCATCCAGCTGGCCTGAAAATTCCCCAGTCAGATTTAACTCTAGTGGAGCAACACATAAGAAATCTAATACATGCAGCTTTGAAGCATCAGTTCACAAGAGTGGAAATGCTTTCCTCCAGGGCAGGAACCTGGAAAAGACTCATGGGTTCACTTGCTGTTCACAACAAAGCCGGCCACTGGGGCATTGTGGAAGGGCAGGGTCTTTAGATCAGACACACTGGGCTGATCCCCGCTCTCCAACTCATCACTTTCTATGTGATCTTGGGTTACTCTACTTCTTTGCACCTCAATTTCCACATCTGCAAAATCACTTCTAACTCCGTGTTGTTGTTGTTGTTGTTAAGCGCTGTCAAGCCAATTCCAACCCACAGTGACCCTGTATGGGTTTCCGATGAGCAGCTGGTGAGCTTGAACCACCGACCTCGCAGTTCAAATGGCTTTGCAGTCTGGCACATTAACCCACAGCGCCACACCAGGACTCCTCTAATTCCATAGGTTAAATGAAATGATACGAATCATGTGTCAAGCATATGGTTGTTACTGTTAAGGACCATCGAGTCGGTTCCAACTCATAACAATCCTGTATAGGGTTTTTAAGTAGCAGTTGGTGGGTTTGAACTGCCGACTTTTGGTTGACAGTCCACTGCTGATCCTACATACACATGGTTGATGTCTAAAAACCAATTTATTTTATATATTTTTTTTAAATTAAAGCCATTATTGCATCTCGGCGCATTCTTCGTCCTCAAACCCTTTAGCACACTAGGGTATGGAAGAAGTTCTGTCACAAAGGGAACTGTGGTAGAAGAACATGTTCTGCATGAGGGAAGGGTGTGGCGATGGTTAAGCACTTGGCTGTGAACTAAAAGACTGGTTGTTCAAATCCACCCAGTAGCTCCGCAGGACAAAGACCTAGCAATCTGCTCCCACAAAGATTGCTGCTGTTGTGAAGTGCCTTCAAGTCAGTTCCGACTCATAGCAACCCTGTATAGGGTTTCTGAGGAGCTGCTGGTGGATTTGAACTGCCAGCCTTGTGGTCTGCAGTCCAGTGCTGATCCTACAGTGCCACATCAGGAGTCCCCCATAAAAACTGTTTTTGTTAAGTGCCGTCAAGTCGGTTCTGACTCAATGGGGCAGTTCTACTATGTCACACAGGGTTACTAAGAGTTGATAGCAACTCTATGGCACCCAACAACAATCCTAGAATGCTATGGATTGAACTGTGCCCCTCAAAGCTATGTGCCCCTTATACATTATTATGGCATCATCTCATTTGGGAACAGGGCTTTCTCTGTTATGTTAATGGTGCCATAGCTAAGTGATGTGTGTCTTAAACCTAACCACTTCTTAGTTACAATGGAGCAGAGTAGACACAAACCAAACATAAACAAGAGGAAGACAGATGCCATGTGAAAATCGCCAAGGCACGGTTGCTAGGATTACAAAACTGGAAGAATTAAGGAGCCAATAGAGAGAAAGCCGTCTCCTAGAGCCCGTGCCCTGAACTCGGGCTTCTAGCCTGCGAAACTGAGAGAATAAATTCCTGTCTCTGAAAGCCACCCACGTGTGGTATTTTTGTTACATCAACAGTAGTAAACTAAGTCAGGTACCGTGGCTGCTTGTGGAATCCTCCCCGACATGAGCTGGAAGAGAGTCTGTAGTGGGTCGTTGGACACCAGGGTGCTGGTGAAGCTGCAGAGAGAGATGGCCATCAGTGGGGATTGAGTCAAGAGAACCTCTTCACTTCTTCACTATTCCCTCTAGCCATCAGGCCTTCCATATTTCCATTAGATTTCAGCAGCTTCACTTGGAATGTGGGTTTCTCATTGCTTTCTACGGTGCCTTTGTTATATCCTCCATTTGGTGAGGGTTGGCAGGATCTTCAACCCACCATGCACCCCAAGTTCTCATTGCTGGAGATATTTCCTTCAGTCTGGCACTGATGCCCTAACTTCAGCATCATCTGAACAACCCCTGGAAAGCCCAAGTGCTTAACATGGAAGGTCCTGACTGTGGACCTCTCCTTCCCAGATGCCTCTCTTCATCTCCTCCAAAGCATTCCTCCTCCTCTCCAAGTCCACAGCTCTCAATGTCATTTTTCTGGCTCATCACAGACCTGGGTCTATAGTGCTTTTACTCACAAGTACTAAATAGTCATTTTCTGTAACCAAGGAGGCGTGGAACTGGGACCAGAAATGATCCTGCTGATGACAAACCATGGGATCTGCTTAACAAGGATATAATAAGCTCTACAGCTGATTTGAGATTTAAGTAGACTCAATAAGAGATATTTTTCACAATTCACTGGGCCCCAGCAAAACTCAATGGCCCAAGGCAAAAATCTGTAGTAGAGATATATGCTACAAGGTGGAGTTATAAATTGTTAATTCCCAAAACCCAAAGGAAAGTCATCCCTCAGAACACTTCCTTTTATTTAATAGCACTCTTGCCTCAAGAACTCAGAGTTCTGATAATAATAAAAATTCCATGATCCTCACCATCTCAGCTTCTGATAATAATGAAGTATGCCGTGGTGTTACTTACTAATCCTTGGGAAGACTGGAGGTTCAAATAATAAAGAGACCCAACTGAGGCCACCATGAAGAATGGGCGCCTAGGTTGTATGGCCACCCTTTGATCTACAGACACCTAAAAAAAGAGGTATCTATCTTTTTATTCAATTGTCTGTACAACAAGATTTGTGGCCAAATATCAACTGCTAGCTAGAACTGAAAGACTTACTCAGAAACCTTTCTCCTATGTTCCCTACACCTACCTCCTTGATTTGATCTTACTTGTCAGTCCCTATCTGTTCCTGAACTGGGCATTAACTGCCTCCTTCTATCTTCCTGATTTGATCTTAGTGCCTAGATCTTGGTGTGCTGGAGTGATTTCTAACTAAGCACACCCTTCCAAGTCTCAGTATCTCTCATTGACCTAGATAAAGTTTTCTCACTCTAATTTGCAGTCCCATAAACTCCTTTTCCTCTCATACCTCACTTTCCTATTACTCCATGCTCCTATGTTTTTCTCAGTATCCAGATTCACAATGCAAAACTAAGCAGTAGACAATACATACATTTAAAATTCAATCCTAAGGCTCTCTCCACTATATTTAAGTGATGACTTCTTCGCTCACTGATAGAATAAGCTAAAATAAACACTCACAAAAAGAGGCTATATAGCAATATATAATCCTATCTAACTTTTTTTTGAAACTCCAACCCTGGAAAATCTGACTACAATGTTTGCTTCAACTTAGAAATGAAGCTATGTCCAGCTTCTGGAGAAAAGAAAGGCTAAGTTCATCTCAGGAAAGAGCAACTAGGAAGATGTTTGGAATGTGGGGCTCTGAGGGCTGCTTTCATTTCTTCCCACCCTCACCCCTACCCTTCCTTCCTGGGAAGACCTCCTTTGCAAGCCCCGACTCACCCACTCATGACCCAGCTGTAGGTCCTTGGGTCCATCTTGCTGGACAGGAAAAAGGCATGGCCCCACAAGTGGTTCTTCATGGCCCATTCCAAGGCTTCCTGAAAACCAAAAGCATCACCCTTAATATTGGCTAACCTTCCTCCAACAAGAACAATCAATCAATCAACCTATTGATAACTTACTATGTTCATATACAATATCACCCTAAGCACCCAGGTATGGCTGAGTTCTAACCAATGGCAGGATATGGGAATAAGATGTACCACTTTCAGGTCTGGCCCATAAACTACCTATATGCAATCGTTCATGTCCTTTTCTCCATTTGGAGGTAGGATATGGGAATAAGATGTACCACTTTCAGGTCTGGCCCATAAACTACCTATATGCAATCGTTCACGTCCTTTTCTCCATTTGGGGGTAGTGGTGGTTGTGGCCGGGCAGTCGGTTCTGACTCATAGCCACCCAGCATAGGGTTTCCAAAGCTGTAGATCTTCAAGGAAGCAGAAAGCCTCATCTCTCTTCCACTAGCTAACTAAAATGGAGATGGCTACATGGTGAAGACAGTAAAGTCTCCAACATTCTGAGTCTCTGAATGACTACATGGAGAATGCATACCTAGTACTCTTACATGAATAAAAATATAAACTGCAATTACATCAACTCCAGTATTTGTTATTGTAGTTAACTGCCCTCCAGTTAGCCCACAAATCATGGTGACTCCATGTACAGTGGAGCAAAATGATGGGGTTTTCTGTAGATCAGATCATTGGGACCTAGAGGATTCTCAGTTTTGGAATAGGCTGATTTTGGAAGTAGATTTCCAGGCCTTTATTCTTAGTCCATGTTAATCTGGAAGCTCTGGTGAAGCCTGTTCAGCATCACAACAACCCCCAAGCCTCCACTGAAAGACAGACATATGGTGGCTGCACATGAGGTGCATTAGCCAGGAATCAAACTCAGGTCTCCTGTCTGGGAGAGTAAATTGGCACAATCTCTAAATCTGCCACTGAACCACCAATGTCCTCACCAAGACAATACCTATGTTGTTGAGTGCTGTCAAGTTGGTTCTGACTCATAGCAATCCTATATAGGGTTTCCAAAGAGCAGGTGGTGAGCTTGAACCACTGACGTTGTATTTCAAGTCTAGCACATTATCCTGCAGCACCACACCAGGACTCCAAGACAGCACCTATAACGGTTAGTAATAACCAACCCCACTTACTACTATTAAGGAGCTCTGGTAGCGTAGTGGTTACAAATCAGGCTGCTAACCTCAGGGTCAGCAGTTCGAAACTACCAGCTGTTCCACAGGAGAAAGATGAGGCTTTCTGCTCCTGTAAAGATTTACAGCCTCGGAAACCCTATACAGGGTCGCTGTGAGTCAGAACTGACTCCACGGCATATAACAACAACAACTTATTACTACTACTACTACTGACAGTGTAGCTATCCAATGCCTTTTCATGTACCAAAAGAATGGCACCACTAACTGGGTGAGATGGGTTAGAGTTGCAAATTAAAGAAAAACAGACATGTTCTCCTCTCCAGTTGACTCTTAGGAGTATTTACTGAGGACATATTTATATGTGAATTATTTAATGAGGACCTGTATATATAGTGGAGTTCCTGATGCGGTGCTGTAGGGTAAGTTCTGGACTGCTTGCTAACCACAAGACTGGCAGTTCAAACCCACCAGTCGCCCCTTAGAACCCCTATACAGAGTCACCGTACGTCAGAAGTGACTCCATGGCACACAACAACAACAACATTTATATGTGAAGGTTTGAGCTAGTATTTCCTTGATGCGAAAAAGTAATGTGAAAAAGTAATGTGATTTTTGCATAGGAAGAATTATTGATATGATTCTACTTTCAAATATATCTTCAATGGAGATAAAGAGATCAAAAATCAATAAATTAATGAAAACTCATAAGAGAGAATCCACCACTTGTCTGTCAGTTTGTCATACTGTGGTGGCTTGTGAGTTGCTGTGATTCTGAAAGCTATGCCCCGGTATTTTAAATACCAGCAGGGTCACCCATGGTGGATAGGTTTCAGGTTAGCTTCCAGATGAAGACAGACTAGGGAGAATGAGTGACAAGCTACTTCTGAATATTTAGATACTGAAAACCTTATGAATAGTAGAGAAACACTGTCAGATATAGTGCCGGAAAATGAGACCCTCAAGTTGGAAGGCACTCTAAATGCGACTGGGGAAGAGCTGCCTCCTCAAAGAAGAGTTGACCATGATGAAACGAATGGAGTGAAGCCTGTGGGAGTAAAGTCCCCAGGACCTTCATTTGCTGATGAGGCACAACTCAAAATAAAGAGAAAAAGCTGTAAATATCCATTAATAATCAGAACATGGGCTGTACAAAGTATGAATCAAGGAAAATTGGAAAATGTCAAAAATGAAATGGAACACAAAACATCAGTATCTTAGGCATTAGTGAGCTGAAATGGACTGGTATTTGCCATTTTGAATCTGACAACTACATAGTTACTATGCCAGGAATGACAAATTGAAGAGGAATGGTGTTGAATTCATTTTCAAAAAAAAACATATCCAGATCGGTCATGAGGTACAACGCTGAATGTGATAGGATAATATCCATGTGCCTACAGGAAAGCCCAGTTAATACCACTATTATTCAAATTTACACACCAACACTAAAGCCAGTGAGGATGAAATAGAAGAATTCTACCAACTTCTTCAATCTGAAATTGCTCAAACATACAATCAAGATGTATTGATCATTACTGGTGAATGAAATGCAAAGGTTGGGAGCAAAGAGGAAGGATCAGTAGTTGGAAAATCTGGCCTTGGTGATAGAAAATGATGCCAGAGATCACATGTTCTGCAAAACCAATGATTTGTTCATTTCAAATACCTTCTTTAGACAGCATAAGAGGCGATTATACACATGGACCTC